CCCTCTGGTGCTTTCTCTGTCTGTCCTGGTGCCCACTCTGTGCCCTCCACTGCCCACTCTGTGCCCTCTGCTGCCTGCTTTGTCCTTTCTGTTTCCTCTAGTGACTGTTCCAGAGCCTCCTCCCCCCTCACCTTTGTCTCTTCCTCAGATCCCTGTTTTGTCCCTTCTGGCGCCCTCTCCTTCCATTCTGGTACCCATTCTGTTCCCTTCTGTGCCCACTCTGTCTCTTTCTCTTGCAGATTCTCTCTCTCTTCCAGTGCCTTTGATCGCTCCTTTGGTTCCTGCTCTGCCTCCTCCAGGGTCCTTTCTCTCCATGCTGGTGCCTGCTTTGTGTCCTCTGGTGCCCACTCTGCCTCTAGTACCTGCTCTATCTCCTTCAGTTCCTTCTGTACTTCTTTCTCTAGCACCTGTCCTGTGCCCTTCGGTGCCCACTCTGTCTCTAGTACCTGAGCTGTCTCCTCCAGGGCCCGCTGTGCTTCTTTCTCCATTTCCTGTCCTGTGCCCTCTGCTGCCCCCTCTGCCCCTTTCCCACCTGCCCTCTCTGTTTCCTCTGGTGCCGGATCTTTGCTCTCCAGCGCCTGCTCTGTCTTTGATGCCTGCCAGATCTCCTCTGTTACCTGCTCCCTTGCTTTCTCTGGCACATGTTCTGACTCCTCTGGTGCCTGCCCTGTAGCTTCTAGTGCCTTCTCTGTGCTTTCTGGGTCAGGTATCTGCCCTGTGTCTGCAGGTACCCGGATAGGCTTGCTATCAGTACTATTAGTGAGCAGCGCGGTGCTGAAGGGGCGGGGTGCTCTGTCCCCAGACCGTGTTCTCCGAAGCACTGACTGTAAAAGGAAAGAGAGAAGAGGTGGCATCAGTGTCTTGGCCTCACCCTCATGTCCACCCTTGCCCTTTCCAGTCCCAGGTGCTACCTTCCCTCCCTCTCCACCCCCTGCTTGGGATAGGTGTGTGCCAATGGCCATGGGCAGGGAGAAGTCTATGCTTAGGAAGCTACCACTGGCTGAGGGAAGTTCTAGAGGTGGGGATGTCAGGGACCTTGGTGGCAGGAGATGACAGGGTTGAGGGATCCCAGAGGAGAAGACTAACTTGATTATCCATATGCCTTTCTGCCTACCATCCAACAATCTCACCTTTCGTGCCTGGGGGCTATTGGGGGCTGAGGCGCTGCTGGAAAGGCTCAGGTTAGAGGCAGAGCAGCTCCGAGACAAGGTTTTATGAGGTGGGTCGGGGGTCCCATCTGGACTCAGGAACTTCTCATTAATCTTCAGGTTGGTTCGTCCCTTCACTGGCAGAAAGAGAGAGGGAAGGCCAAAGGATTACGTGTTTTGGGGGGGGGGGGAGCACAAGGAGAGAGGGTTTAGCAGCGTCTCTACTCATCTTCCCACCTTCCCCCTATTCTCCCCCTCTGGGTTAAGTCCCTTGGCTTTCAAGACACCCTACTGATTTTCCTGTTCTTGTCTTCATATGGCCAAGTCTTTCTGCATGGTTTCTGACTCATGGCCCTCTGGCTTGTCCTGGCCCTCATTTTTCAGGTATACCCTTAACCCCTAGCTGGCCCAACTAGTCCTGATGTGGCCACACTAAACTTTTCAGCCCTCCCTCCACCCCACATCCTGCTCTGCATTGACCACCACTATCCAAGCCCCATTCTGGTGTCTGCTCTACATCTCCATCCTCCTGTGCCTAAATCTCCTCAGCCCACCCCCAGAGCCTCATTCCATTTTGAAAATTCCATCTAGAGCTTCAACTCTGTGAAGAGGGACAACTCCCAAGCCTACATCTCTAGCTTTAATCTCAACCCCCAAGTCTCTCATTCCATTACCTCATTTCTACACTGGAAAAAAAGTGACTGAAAATTACACATCGTGCAAATTATGACCCAGTGTTAGATGAGTAGCCCATTGAGTAAGACTATTGGTAAATGTCTCTTGAACAAACTCTGCAGGTAGATAATGAAATGGGTTCAGAATCAAATGGAGGTAAAAGGGGTGCCGACTGGGAATGATCCATAGAGGGACAGCCTGTATCTTAGTCTCAAGGCCTTCCTAGTTTCCAGATAGCCAGGCCTCAGTTCCTGCCCCAGCACAGGATCACAGAATCATGCCTCCTGTCTTAGTTTTTGTAGAGGGCCTTGGTCTTGTGCCAAGGCCTTCCCCAGGACCCTACCCTAGTCCCAGATTGAGAAAAACTGCCCTATTTCCTCCTACTTCTGTTCTTGCCATAGGGCTTAACTGTAAGGCTAGATTCCTCTTGGCCATACCTCTACCTCCTCCTGTGTGCCGTGAGACAGGCTTCATGGTACCTCACATCACCACCACCTACCAGGAGGATGGACCTTGAAGAAGGTTATTGAACCTTCTATTCACCTGCCTGCCTCAATAGACTTCTAACCACTGATAGTCTGCCTCTGCTCATTCACCAATGGTTAGCATGCTCCCCACCCCAGGTGCTTCCCTATCTCAATTTGGAACCCTCAGTCCCAGGTATACAAACCTTGTTCCCACCCTCCTTCCTCTAATTCCCATTCCAGATCTCTTTGCCCCTTAACACTGTTTTCCTTGGAATGCCTGCTCCATAATTAACAAATTTGTCTTTATCTTAAACCTTTTCCTTTTCTGGTCCTCCTATTTTCTGGCTCTCACTGAGACATCGCTCCCGTCTGATGACAATGACTTTTCCGGGTGGATTTTCATTCAGTGGTTGTGGTGGGGGAGTCTGAATATTCTTTGCTCTCCATTGCCATTTCTAGACTCTCCCTCAACCACTGTCCCTCAGCAGACTCCTCTTTTGAGGTTCACACGATCCAAATCTATCACTCAAACCAGATCTGGGTAGCCTTTATCTGCAGACCCCAAATGACACTGTCTTTCCATCCATGAGTTCAGTGCCTGGATCACATAGTCTTTCTCTCTACCCTGAATCCTGCTCTCATGCTGGAGGACTTCGATATGTATATTGATGCTCTCTCGACTACCCTAATTTACCAGTTCTTCAAACCACTTAGTGGTTCTCATGATCCATTCCTCCACTCT